ACCTCTTCTGGACCCTGGTGGATCACTGACAAAAGAAAAAGGGATGTAGGGCATCCCGATGTAGGGCAGGGCTGAGAGGCCAGGCAGACATGTCTGTATCTTCTCCCACGGGGGCGAGGGTGTTGTAAAAATACCCAGATGGCAATGCGCCCAGGAGCCCCACAGCACTGTGGCACGTCCTCCTTAGGAGAAGTGCCGGTGGCCATGGGCAGCCTCGGTGGGAGGGGGGTGACTGCACACAGGAGCCGGCACCCCGGCCCCGGCCACCCTCTCCCAGCCGGTACGAGGGTACAGCTTCCAGAGTCCCCGTGGCTGGGGCTGAGAGCAGGAAGCTGGGCAGAGCCCACAGTCAGGAGACATTTGTGTCTGAGCCGTGGAGGCAGACGACTCGCCACTCACCCTCCGAGATTAGAAGGGCCCGGGGCAGCCCTGCTGTCACCTGAGGCAGGGGCAGCCCAGGCTGGCCCGGCACCTGCCGGGACCTCAGCCGCTCCATCTGAGCTCGGTTCCCTCTGCGCCAGAGACCCCAGGCACCAGCTCAGGGCACACCCAGGTGCCTTCTAGACGGGAGCAGGCCTGGGAACATGGCTTGAAGGCTGAGCCCGAGACACGGTCATCCAAAGAGACCCAGGAAGAGGCCTGAATCCCATTAATTTTGCAAACCCAGGTTTTTCTACCTCCATCCACAATGAGGTGGAGACTCTCAAAAGTTACGTGCAATAAAATGCTGTATTTTTTTTCTTTATGCCGTGTGCATGGTGTTAAATTCATAACCCACAGTTAATTAATTAATTCTACAAGTATTTCTTGTGCCCAGACAATGTTTGAGGGGCCAGAGATTTGGCAATGAATAACACCAAACACCAGTGTGGGTTCCTGTTCTCAGGCACCTTCTATTTAAAAAAAAAAAATTTTTTTAATGGTTATTTTTGAGAGAGAGAGGGAGAGACAGACAGACAGACAGAATGCAAGTAGGGGAAGTATACAGAGAGAGGGAGACAGAATCCAAAGCAGGCTTCAGGCTCTGAGCTGTCAGCACAGAGCCCAATGTGGGGCTCGAACCCATGAACCGTGAAATCATGATCTGAGCCGAAATCAGATGCCTAACCAACTGAGCCATTCAGGCGCCGCAGGCACCTTCTATGTTTTGTAAATGTTTTCTTTATTTATTTTGAGAGAGAGAGAGAGAGAGAAAGAATCCCAAGTAGGCTCCATGCTCAGTGCAGAGCCCAATGCAGCCATGAGATAACAACCTGAGCCGAAATTAAGAGTTAGATGCTTAACCGACTGAGCCCTCCAGGCACCCCGGGTGCATTCTAGTATAATGGGAGGAGAAAGATAATAAATGCATGCATGTGTCAGCAAGGGTTTTTAGGGGTGAGAAGTGCTGTACTGAAATAAACTAAGGCAATAGAATAGAGAATGACTTAGGTGGCCTAAGAAAGCCACAAGGTGACCACAGGGGAAAGATGTAAGGACATCAGCTGGCACATAAGGAACAGCAGGAAGGCCAGGGTGGCCAAGGGTGGGGAGAACAAGGGGAAGGGCCAGGGGTTGAGGGTGAGAGAGAAGCAATGGCCAGGTCAGGAAGGGCCTTATGAGCCAAGAGAAGGAGTGTGGCTTTTGTTATAACTGTAAGAAGTTGGGGCAGGTTTTTTTTTTTTTTTTTTTTTTTTTAATGATTATTTATTTTGAGGGAGGGAGAGCAGGGGAGGGGCAGAGAGAGAGGGAAAGAATCCCAGACAGACTTCATACTGTCAGCGCAGAGCCAGACACAGGGCTCAACCCCACAGACTGTGAGATCAAGACTTGCGCCAAAACCAAGAGCTGGACGCTCAACGGACTGAGCCACCCGGGTGCCCCCGTGGGCAGGTTTTTAATTCATGTATGATCTGACCTGTGTTTCATAAAGATCCCCAGCTTTTGTGGGAGCTGACGGTGGGGACAACGGAGTTCAGAAGCAGGGAGCGGAGGTCGGGATCTCACTGCAATCCAGGCAGGAAGCTGTGGTGGCTTAGACTGGGGTAGGAGGAGCTGAGTTATGTGGCTGGATCTCAGAGATATGGAGATGGGAGGTGGTAGGAGTTGCTGACTGATCGCTCTTTGGTCCAAGACACAGGCATAAAGCACGGCCATCAGGGTTTGCAGTGAGACACGGTGGTGGCCCAGGAGGCCATGCGTGGAGCTGAGGAAGATGGGATGGCTCGGGGCAATGGAGGGGGAGCCAGGAGACCTGCTGGGCCGCGATGAGCCACCTCTTCACAGGAAGTGAGCAGCAGGACAAACCCAAGTCTGGAGGTGACGGGGCAGTTGGGGCTGGAGTGACACGTGGAGTCAGGCGCCTACGAAGGGATTTGCAGCCCGGGGCCTGGACCAGCTTGCTGGGAGAGTGTGGGGGGCACACAGAAGGGAGATCGCTCAAGGCAGAGTCTAGGCACGACTCACGCTGAGGCCTGGCAGAGGGGAGGCAAGCCAGCCATGGTGCCCAGCTGGCTTCATCACCCACCGGGATTACCATAGTGCCATTTGTCACCATCGGGCTGTGAACACTGATATGGGCTCTGAAAATCTCTGTGTGTACTCCCATGATCCAGGCATCCTTATCACATATTTTTTGAAGTTTGACATAAAAATGAAATAGCAAATTAAGTTCTCATAAAGAACACACGAGCCCCTGAGAATATATCCTGTTTGAAGGGTTAAGGGCAAACCTCTGGGCAGAAGTCAGTGGCGTTTAACGCAGGAATCACACAGAACACGTGCCCCACGCACCACCTCTTCCTCAGCCCTGCTCTTCGAGGCCAGCTTAGAATGACCTCATACCCTCTGGAGCCCTCCGTGCTCCTGGGCAGGGAGTGTACTTCCCTGGGTTGGGCTCGCTTCCAGGCTGTGAGCCCACGTGAGCAGAATGTCCGCCAGCCTGTAAGGTCACCGTCAGAGCACCCCTCTCTGCAGCAGGGCATGGCCTTCTAGGAATCCCTGATCGGAATGATGTTATCCCTGTGTCAGAGAGTCTAGAAAGGGGGACATTTGATTTTAAATTAGGAGGTGGAGGGTGGGGATGCAAGGAGCAACATGGAAAAATTCCTAGCTGCTGCTAGTTTTTTCTTCTTAAAAATTTTTAATGTTTTCTAAAAATTTATTTTTGAGAGAGAGAGAGAGAGAGACAGAGCTGGGGAGGGGCAGAGAGAGAGGGAGACACAGGATCCCAAGCAGGCTCCAGGCTCTGAGTCCAACACGGGGCTCGAGCTCAGGAACTGTGAGATCATGACCTGAGCCGAAGTAGGATACTTAACTGACGGAGCCACCTGAGCGCTTCTGGAAGTGCGGTATTTTAGGTAAACCAGTCCCAGGCAAACTGGGACAGTTGATCTTCTCAACTGAGTCAAGGATCAAGATGGCCAAGGGCGGGGGAGGAGAGACAAGGTTGTGTACCTTGGCATCCCCATAAATGCCAGTCTTGGGTATTGTGATGAAACCATATGGAATGAAGCAAACCCCACCCTGGGTTTATGACCAGGCAGAAGGCAGGGTCACACCCCACACTCAGCCCCCTCTCTCCTTCCCATGCCTCCCCCCCAATGCCCAGGACCAGACCCCAGCCACAAAAGACAACCGACAATTGTCTTTATAAGTATATTTTTATTGAAAATAAAAAAGGCATGGTACTTTCTTCCTCATAAGTAGCATCCAGTCCGCCTCCCCCTCCCCCCGCAATGCTGTGGGTCCTGCACCCTGTGTGGTCTCAGCATGAAATCCACATTAGTGGCTCGCTGGTGGACAAGACGGCACCGGCTTGTACATTTGTCCATTGAGACAGAACGAGAGACACAAGTCGTCTCCCTGTATGCACACGGCACATTGTGAGGAAGGCAGATCTCAGGATATTTACATTCATGCATTAGATATCCCATACTACCTGGGCTGTTTAAGTCAGACTTTGTACAGATTCAGAGAGTACAGTAATTTTATATAGATATAGATATCTCTTTAAATATATATATAACTATATATAATATATATGTCTATATTTTTACAGCTATTAGTCTTTCTTCCAAAACTTGCTTTAGAAGCTTCTCAGTAACACCTAAAAACTCTTGGAGATCCTATATGCCATTCTAAGTTGGGCTCAACTAGGAGACAGTTAAAAAATATCTATTTGAGAAAACGCAGAGAAGAAATGTGCATTTCGTTCTCGACCTCAAGGTTTGGGCTCGCCTGAAGATTGGTCTGAGTTTAGGGGCTGCAGATACATTCCTTAAATAAAAGTTCTGATTTCAAATACCAGGGTGGTGTGGATTTACGGATGCTTCTTGTCACTTAAGCGAAAAATCCAGTGAGGCTCTCTTGCGACACATGTGACAGTATCCAAATGGCCAGTTCTGGGTTTGAGGGAGGGGGGCGAATTCTTTTTTAAAAACTGGATTCTTCTCTTGGTTTTCACAAGCTGAGCGAGAAAAGACTTTACAAACCCAATTTGGGGGAAATTTATCCACAAACTTTTCACGGAGCCCTGGCTGTGTCCCCAGGGAAGGGGATACTGGCCCCAGAATGAAGTGGATGCCAAGGGTGGATGGTTGGGAAGCCCCGAAGGGTGAGACCAAGTGTAAAACCCCCTAGGTTTCAGCCAGGGTCAGGGAAGGTGGGACCCACAGAGTGGTGCAAGGCTGGGCTGCTCCCTGCCTCCCTTGACGTCTCCCCAGGCCAGATGCCCATCACTTCATGACCCCTTCCCCAGGACCTTCCCCTCTGACCGAAGGTGCCTTCCCATCGCTTCCGACGCCAAGGTGGTGTGTGCATGGAGCTGGGGTCCTGCCTGGGTGTCTGCTCAGGGAACATGCAGGGGACTCAGCGGCAGGCTACGGGCAGTAAGGGAAAGCACCTTGCTGCAGACCCCACACCCTCTCGGGGCAGCGACGAAGGCCACTGGTGGCACTGCGCCACGCTAAGGTAGGCAGGGAAAGCAAAATGCGAATCCAAACCAAAACCGGGTCCTCCTGGGTCTGTCCTCAACCTGCTCTGCTGACCTGCGGGAAGGACCGGGTGAGGGTCACAGCAAACTCACCTTCTCCCCTCTGCTCTCCGAAACACAATGGAACACAGCTCCGTGGGCAAAGGGATTTACAAGGTGGGTTTCCAAGGCTCTGCCCAAACAGGGACTTGTTTACTGTCTTACCCGGCTTACCTGGATGGCAGAGTCTCACCGCGGCCCAAGTACCTTTCAGAGAACCACACCGGTGGTCTGGAAAGTGGGCGGGGTCCACCTAGCTCACCTCCTTCATGGAGAGAGCGGAACCGTTAAATGTGCCTTCCTTCCAAGCGAGTGCATGGGAGGGGACGGCACCGTGGGGTCAGGAGTGCTCTCCCAATCCAGGCGATGCCAGACCACGCTGTCCCCACGGGCCTAGTGATGTGCCCACAGGGCAGGTGGCCACCTGGGAAACAGGCCGGGGGACCAGGATTACCAGGTGTGGACGGCCCTCTCTCTCCCTCTCCTTCCTTCCCTTCATCCACCAACCAACCCCTCGGGGCGTTTTCAGCACTTTTAGAACAGAAGACATGCAAAGGTGGCCGCTGGGAGAGCACCGCCTCCTTCAGGGTGAGGGGAGGCTGGGGACTCCCCGGAGAGGGTCTGAGTACCTGGTCAGGGCCTTAGGGGGTCATCGGGGAGACCCAACGCCAGGCCGGGTCAGCCTAACCCAAAGTGCTGGGCTTGGCACGAGTGGTGGCCTCTGCTGGGTGAAGGCAGGGCCTGGCTCACATGGAGGCGTCAGTTTCCGCGAGGATCAAGTGTGGGTCTGCGAATGGGCAGAGGGGCCTCTTTCCCTCCCGGGTCCTTGGCCTGGCGTTCAGTGAGTTGTTTTGCTTCTGGAAGGTCAGACACTAGCTCTGGGTGAAAAAGAGCCCCTCTGTCTGCTCAGTCAGGAGGGGACCTTGCAGGCTGGGCTCACAGCCCCCTGTAGCAGGGGTCAGAAGTCAAGGGCCAGGGGCCTGGGGTGTGGGAGGGAACAGAGAGGAAGGAGGCAGGCCCCGAAGACTAAAGACAGTCGCCGATGGGGTGACAGACAGATGTGTGGGAAGCACCTTTGGAAGGGGACATCTCACGGCTGTGCCGATGGCTTCTGTTGGGACGCATGGTGACTGGGGAGCAAGCAGTCTTCCTGGGGAGGAGGAGGGGTTTTTTGAAAGGACCACCTTTCTCGTGGCTAAAGCAGGATGCCCCCCCACCCCTGCAGACAGACAGACTCCCTGCCTTTGTCAGAGCACAGTTGGGAGACAGTAAATCAAATACAAGATGGAGAAGAGACGCGGAGAGCGTTTGTGGAGGTGCCGCCCCGGGTGCCACGTGCAGGTGAGCCCGGCGTCCACACTGTCCCTGCCCGCGCGCTGGCCAGGGGCGGGCGGGGAATGGGATGGTGTCTCCTTCGGAAGTCCTGGACAAGCCCAGAGTCAGCTGGTGTCCTGCTTTCCCGTGTCCGCCAAAGCCACCAATGTGCCCTTCTGGCCAGCGGGGCCGGGGTCTGCAGACTCACACCACGGCGTTGTTCACGTCCACGCCTTTGTGGCTCTGCGAGGAGGCCATGGGATACTCAGCAGCGCTGGTGCCGTTCTCCTCTTTCCTCAGGGGTTTCCTAGGAAGGGAGGCAGGGACACCATTAAGGACCAGTGGCTCGGCTGGGGGCATCGTGGCCTTCGAGTCAGGCCAGCAGACTCTGTTCTGGGTTAGCATCCATGGTTGCTGGTCCTTGTGGGAGCCGATTAGGAGCTGGGTGGGGGGAGTCTTAACGAGGAGGGCCACATAAGTGCCGTGCGCACCAGGGCACAATTGAGAGTGAGAGAGGAGAGCTGTTAATAATGAAGCAGGGACACTAGGCATGAATTAGGGCTCTTTGGGACAAATGAGAGCGGAGAACCTAGCGTCAGCCTCGTAGGACACACAGTCAGGCTTTGGTTGATCTCCGAGGATGAGCAAACGGATGTGAAGATGCATATTTGCAGGTGTAGAGGTTGGATTTTGTAGCCTTGCCCCTGTGTGGTCAGAGGTACATGGAAAAGGTGATGAAGAGGATGGCGGGGAGGTTGATGCTGGCAGTGGTGATGGTGGCCTGGGGCGGTGGGGATAGTAATGGGGTGGACATGGTGGTGGAGGTGGTGGTGGTGTTGAAGGAGGTTGTCATGGTGGAGTTGGCGGTGGAGGTGATGGTGATGTGGTTACGGTAATGGGGGTGATGATGGTGGTAGTGGTGGTTATGGTTATGTCATTGGCAGCGATTATGGTAATGGTAGTGGTGATGGTGGTTATGGTCATGGTCGATAGCAGGGTTATGATAATGGTGGTGATGGTGGTGGTGGTTATGATTGTGTCGATGGTGGTGGTTATGGTAATGGTGGTGATGGTGGTGGTGGTTATGATGGTGTCGATGGTGGTGGTTATGGTAATGGTGGTGATGGTGGTGGTGGTTATGATTGTGTCGATGGTGGTGGTTATGGTAATGGTGGTGATGGCGGTGATGTTTATGGTTGTGTCGATGGCGGCGGTTATGGTTATGGGGTGATGGTGGTGGTGGTTATGGCTGCGTCGATGGTGGTGGTGATGTAACAGTGAATGTCCAAACTAACTAAATGCACACTAGTGGTTCTCAAGCATTTCATGTAGGGCCATTTGAAGACCATTCCAGAGGCTATTTAACCCCAAAAGCCATTCCTCCCATACAAACAAGGCCCGGGAAGGCTGGGTGGGAGGCTTTGAGAAGGTTCTTGCTCACTTGCAGAGGTTCTGAATGTGCAGTACTGCTTTCTGGCCTGGCTCCAATCCCACCTCCTCTCCTGGCTGGTTCAGGAGGGCTCCCGGCCCCTGGCTACAGTCTCCCGATCTAGGCCACACACACCGTGGAGCCCAAGCCCATGTCACAACACTGTTGTTATTTGGGTGAATGTGAGGCCCGCGGGGCCGTAGCTCACTCCCCTCTGTCCCCAGGAACGCTGGGGCTGAGCCTGAACTGGCCTTTGCTGTGTAGTGTCTTAACTGAATGTCTAAGGCCATCTCTGAAAGCCCGGTCGGTGATCGATTGCTTCTGCCTTCTCAAATGTCCCCAGAGCCTCCCGGAACCCAGCCTGAGGACTGGTACTTGGAGCCTAGTTGGCTGCCGATGGGATAAAGTCTCAGGTGAATTCGTTTGGGGGGGCAGGGTCTGCAAGGTGATTATCAGTAGTTTTAAGGGTGGGATTATCAGGCCCGTTCAGAGACAATACCCTGAAATCAAATCTAGTAACTTCCCTTCCCTTTTTTTCTTGCTGTAGAACGAGCTCACAAAACACAGAGAGAAACCCAAGTGCATTCATTTTGGGTGTCAGGCTCAGCCACAGTGGCTTCTAGAAATGTGAGATGCAAACCAGCACTGCCTCCCGTGTACACTGTACAAAGCACTCTCAGCTACAGATGTTCCTGTCCCCTCTCAGTATGGTCCCCTGAGGAAGCTCGGCCTGGGGTTAAGAGATTCAATATCTGGGGAAACTGAGGCTTAGGGATAGCTGTGACTCGCCCGAGGGTCCCCAGCTGGTCGGTGCTATGGCCTGGACCACCACCTGCTCCTACCATATCCTGGTCCAGACATCTTTCCCTTAAGTCAGAACCCCCAGCAGGCAGCATCCCCACAAACGGGCTCTGTGGTCCCATCAGCTTGGAAAGGCCTTCTACCTCCCTGCTCCCGGAGAATTCCAAAAGTTCTCAAGAGTCAAGAAGCCCATTTTGCTTTAACCCAGCATATCCCAAGAACCCCACTTAATTAGAGGCTCCAGATACTTTCTGGAACCCCCAGGTATGTAGGGGTCAGATGAGTTGCCTTGTTTGTTATGAGCTTGTGGAAATACAGTTTCTGAGCCAACCTCTGCCCCTGGGCCCTTTCTCCCTCAGTCTCCTTCCTGTCTCCCCGGTGCCCACTCACCATTCCCCAGGGGCTTCAAGCAGCTCTCACTCTGCTGGGTGGGCTTCCTTTCCGACTCTGAGTTTGCATGGCCTGGAAAATTGGGTGGAGGGTGCACCTTCTCACAGTGAGATACTGTGTTGCTCTCGCCATGAGGCCATCGATGGACTTAAGGGAGCTTCCTACATTTATCATCAATATATGAAGCAGGGGTTGGGGTGGGGGGGTGATGGACATCGGGATCGGGATTCCAGAAAATATTAACAGGCAAAAATCTCTGAGCCCAAACCCACACTGCATCACTGCTTTTCTCCCTAACAAATATTTGGTCATGGGCTAGGTCTGAAAAATCAACTGGAAGGGGTCCAGGTCAGGGGAGATGAGGCCAAAGCGTCTTCAAGAGTGGATAATGGAGGGGCGCCTGGGTGACTTAGTCGGTTAAGCGTCCGACTTTCGCTTAGGTCATGATCTCGCAGTTCGTGGGTTCGAGCCCCGCGTCGGGCTCTGTGCTGACTGCCAGCTCAGAGCCTGGAGCCTGTTTCAGTCTGTGACTCCCTCTCTCTCTGACCCTCCCCTGCTCACGCTGTCTCTCTCTCTCTCTCTCCTAGAAATAAATAAAAACATTAAAAAAAAAAAAGAGTGGATAATGGAGAGGTGCACCTGGAACTCCCACGGAAATGGGCAAAGCATGGAGGGCAAAGAGTTTCTGCTTTTTAGGGTGAAGGTAGGAAATCTGCAGGACTTCTGCCAGGAGAAGAGGTGACATTTCTAAAGCCAGGCTGCTGACTAGGACATCCCTTTGCGTTCTCAGGGCCTTAGAGGGAAATGTTGGCCCAGAGGGCCTGGCAGGAAGCAAGCCCGGCCAGAGGGACACTGAGGGCGGGGCCAGGAGGCAGCCCCAGGGCCGTCTCAATGGCCCCAGCCAGCCTCCCAGCCCAAGACCAGCATTGTTCCTGGACAGAAGTCTGGGTAGGGCTCCACCCAGCAGAGTAGCACCTGTGGCTGGCACAGCGCCCCCTACAGGAACATTCCAAGAGCCTGGGCGTGGCGAGGGCAGGGGTTAGTGTCCCAAAGTTTCTCCTGAGAAATGGGCTTGGTCTGCTCCCATTCTCTACTAGAACTGAGCCCTCAACCATTCTACTCCCTGGGCTGCTGCCTCGGGCCACTCCCAAAGCCTGTCTGGGATTCACATAAGCCCAGTGGAATCTGGGGTTTTATCTACAGACCGAGAAGGCTCTACCTCGTCCCTCCCCACACCTCCCTTCCACTAACGGGGCACTTCAGGGTGACGCTGCCCAAGTGCTGGGATGTCATGGCTCAGGGCACCCAGGCCCCACCCCTGCTAGCCGTGTGACCTTGAGCAAGCCCCTTAACCTCCCTATGCCTCAGTTTCCTGGTCTATAAAATGGGCACAATAAGGGTGTCCATTTCATAGGTTTGCTGGGAGAATTAGGTACGTTAATGCAGGTCAAGCACTTAGATAAGCATCTGGCATACAGCAAGTGCTCCATAAGTGTCGGTTAGCTCTCAGTACTGCTATTGGAAAGGTGCCAGCTGGGAGCTGTCCTGTCAGCCGGCAACAGCCAGCGCTCTCTAGTCTGCACAGACTTCCTACCTAATGTGCGCCCGGGGGGCTCCGGAAAGGCCAGAGAGGCCCGCTGGGACCCAGCGTGGCTCTGCAGTGCAGTGCCGTGAGCCAGCCAGGGCTGGTCCCGCTAACCCAAAGTAAGGCACGCGCACCCCGGTGCAGGAGGAGATGGCCGCGGACGGCCCCCTACAAGGCCTGGTTCCTAAAACCAAGAGAGAGGGAAGTGAGCTTTTCCTGGGCCATGTCCAGGATTCCTGCCTGCCACGCTGAGACCCCTTCCCCCCTCGCCCCTGGCCCGGCCAGCAGCAGGCACTGCTCGTTCTTTACACGGGGCACCGTGTAGACCGCTCTGGGGGGGCTCATGCCACGAGCCACAGCCTCGGCAGGACCGCCTCCGCCCGCACGTCGGGCTCGGGCAGGGGGCGCCAGGACCCAAGTGCCCATCTCGGGCCCAGCTGACGAGGATGACAGGTCCCACCCTGAGAAGGGAGAGCTGCCTGGTTCGCTTCTGGGCTCCCGCGCCCAGCGGAAGGAGCTGCTCTTAGTCAAGGGTATTGGTCTCAGACTCCTTCTTCCAAAGGCATCCATCTTCCCCGAAAGACACACGCACAAACACACCCAAACACATACGCAGCCCACCCCACCTATACGCAGCAGCACACACAGGCACGCACGCACATCCATACACAGCCCACCCCACCTATACACACAGCAGCACACACAGGCACGTCCATACACAGCCCCTCACAAACGCACACCCCCTTCCACGATGAGATGCCTATGTAGCCTGCAGACCTCTCCAAACCTGGGTCAAGAAGCCAGAAAGAGCCCTTCCAAGCCACCGTGGGAGTCATCGACCTCCTTTCCAGCCCAGCACGCTTTTCCCCTAGCACCTGGGTGAAGGGGAGTCGGGGACGCAGCCACTGGCGCCCTCACGCTCCAGCCGGACCCACTGTGGGACCTTCTCTGGGGCTTCCTTGTTGAGCCGCCCCCGGCTGAGCGAGGCGAAGGCTGGCGTCTGCGAGTCTCCCGGCTTCTGCTCGCCCCTGGGACCCAGCCAGCAGGGCCAGGCATCTGGATCTCTTCTGAGCGCCGTGGGGAGCAGTGAGGACTCCTTAAA